TTTGTTTTCACCATATATTTAGTATAAAGTATTTGAAATTAAAAGTAAGGAAAAATTTCCCATTTTGAATGTTACAGAGAAATGATATTTTACCTTTCAGTAAAAATGTTTCATGTTCCTTCTCTCTGGTGACAATTTCAATACGTATCCTAAGTAAAATTTTAGTTATCTCAGCTCCCTTAAAAATGCTCGAGGAAAGTTACCTGGAGACGAGTTTCACTGCAAAAAATAGAATGTTCCTCATAATTCATGTTTACATATGTGGCAGTGGGTAGTCATGTTTTAGATCTTATCAGTTAATACTTACTAAGAGCAGAAAAATAGTCTGGAAGGTAAACTTCCCGTGTTTATCAGAAGATTTTCTTAGTGCTTCAATTTACAGTGTTTAATTTCACTATCAGATGCTTGTCATTCAGCATACAACACTTGCTTTACAATTTCATGTTTGTTCTGAACTATAGAAGGGGTTGGCTTGAATAATTCTTTAAAATAAAATATATTGACTGAAGTGGGTTTTGATATTCCATCTTTTTATTTATTTATCGAATGGTTTATGTTTAGGAAAGTGTGAAAATGTATTTTTGAAGTGGGATTATGTAGATGACATTTGCTTGCAAACATCAGTGTAATTTTACCTGGATTGTACCTGGATCATGGATATTTAACAGTATTTAACATTAGAAAGCGAATTTTTAGAATTGAGTAGAAATGAATTTAAGTACTGTATATGAATTTCACTTCAATGCAGATAATTGCAAACCAATCAAAAAATAACTTAAACACAACTTGCCAAAATTATTATATAATAATATTAATAACAATGATACCTATACAACTTGCCAGAATTATATATTACTTAATTCAAAGTTTAAGTCTTTTATTTGTTTTTGAAATTAGTCTTTTTCTTTAATATTAAAAGTTATTTTAGTAATTTTGACTGAACAACACCACATAAGAAAATTTTTGACTCCCGAAAAAGTTGAAATTTCAACCAAGATCTAATCAACTAGGGAAATATGTTAGCAAAATGTTAGTGAAAACTGTTTTTATTATCTTTGTAAAAAACAACAAAATTAATTAGGAATTTTTTTTGACCTGCTATTGAATATTTAGAAAAACAGCAACGAATTTATCGTTTAGTTTTATCGTCAATCAAGTATCAAGTTTTAGAATCAAATAGTTTTCATATTTCATTTTGAATGAATAAAAGAGAGTAAATGTGCAAAATCTGTAAATTAAATTAGTTCTGAAAAACTTACTTGTTCAGAAATAACTGAATTAATGATTGAAACCTATGTAGGACATTTTTAGAGAAGCAACTTAAAACTAGCTGTAATATTAATAATTATGAACAGAAATCATACTCTGTCCAAAAATTATCTTGAGTCATCTTAAGTATTGTAATAAATTACAGACACATTTACATTGAATAAAAGTTTCAAATTTTAATTGAAGATAACTTACATGATTGGAATTGAAGTTCAGCCGTATATAAGCATTATAAATAATGGAAAAATAACTACTAAGTGTATTATTAAAACTACATCCAAAACTGTTGAACTTGTATTTCCTGAGTAGTTCATTGCAGTATGATGCAAATACTGCTAAGTTTTTCCACCACGTGATAATTAATTTAGCGGGACGGTTCCACTCCAAGGTTGTGAAGATGGTTTGCTCCATGCTCATTGCTTTATAAGATGGACTAGAGATGCCCCGTTCAGTTGCATATTTTCAATATTGTTGAATTTTATAGTGTGTTTACATGAACCATATGCATATTGTTTTAAACTGCTAATATGTATCTTTCTTTCTGTGTCTCCATCTTCCTATATCTCTTTCCTCTCAATGTTTGTGTGTAAGGGGTATACATACTCATATTTGTACTTGTAATCTACATATAAATTTACTGTAATTTATAGTATATCCTTATACCTTACTAATGTGTTTTTGTGTTTCTCTTTTCACATGCAGCCGGATGAAATGTACTATAGTATATCAGGACCAAACTAAGCATTTCATCAGGAGAGCTTGATTGTTGGTTTGGGCTGGATTGTACAGAAATTCCTGTTGTATTATATTGCCTCTGTTGTTCAAATCTTAACATGTAATCCTAACTGTCTACAATGTAATATTGTATAATGAACTTGTATATTGTAGTTGGCAGGTACAATAACAGATCATACACAGAAGTGATAGAACTCCTATTGCAAAGTCTGTGTTTGTTACACTGCTCAGAGTCTCAGTTTGTCTGCCATTAGAAGCTGAGGTTTTGTGCATTGTAATTATTCTGCATAGCAGTTGCAGTAGGTGGATGTTCTGTCACTATTAAATCTGCCGTAGTGTCTAAGATGACCGGGGATCACCAATTATCAAAGCAATTTCTCGAGCATATAGTCTTGTGTTTTATCACTCACATTGCTTGTGAGCTATATTGCAAGGATTATATTTTCAATCTCAATTTCTAGGCCTACGATATCAATGTATTGTTCTACTGAACATGAATTCACTCTACAAGAATAAGAATGTTTTTGCAAGTAGAATTTCTTACTATCCTTTCTGTAGAATGAGAAACAGTTTTGGAAGCTTTTATTTTTTGTTTCATAGTAATGAAATGATGATAGTAATTATTATTATCTTCAAAATATTGATTTACTTGTTTTCAAATATTTTTTCTCAATATTTTAGTTGTTTTTTAATGATTAAGTAACTAATTTAATTTTTCACTGTGGTTTTTTAATGAAAGAATTTTTGTAATAATTTTTCCAGAAAATTCTATGTATAAGATAAAGGTAGCGATTGTGAAATTTCTTTCACAATTCATGGACTATATACTTCTTTAACTCTAATGGAAAAGTGACAACTGAGCCACAAACAAATATGACAATTAAGTATGTAATGTTCTTGTACTTAGCAATAAGAATAATGTGCCTGCTTTCATGAGCTTCATGATTAGAATAGAACAAGGCCATCATATATTTTTGCTCCAGCTTTGAATAATAGGGTACAGATCCAAGTTAACATTGTGTGGAGTCCATCTGCACTTCTTAAGATTTCATTTTGTAAGGTACTAAGTATAATATACAAACATGATTGTGTACAATGTAATCAGTTTCTCTCATAACAGTGTTATACTGGAATACTTTCTTCACAAATTCATTAATTGATTACTCAGATGCCCTGTGGTACTATTGTATGTTTTCAGATTGGTTTTATTCAGTAAATCTCTTTCTAGGTTGCAAATCAGGATTCAGGTACATTTTATTGTCTCAAGATCAATCTTATTTTTAAATGAATTAATATTTTATTAAGGCCAGCAAAAAAGAGTTGTGATGAATTGTATGTGATAGAGGATGTGTGTATACATGTGGTGTGTGTGTGTGTGTGTGTGTGTGTGTGCCTGTCTGTCTCTAAAAATGAATTTCATTGCATAACAACATTGTAGAAGTAACTTACTTTGAGTAAATGTTTCTGTGTAGTATATATTTTGAACCAACAATAGATAATAGGTAAAACAAAATAACTATTCTTAATGTTTGAAAAATAAGGGAATAATAAGAATAAAAATAAGGGCATTGTAGAAAATCTGTGAAGTCTTGATGTGAATTGCAGTTAAAATATAATTGGTGATCCTTGGTATGCGAGACAGTTTCTCTAAAATGTTGCTATAAAGGAATATCAGTTACTGTTGTGGGGTGTGTGGTGAAGGGTAGTATTATGCTTTGTTAAGCTTTACCCACCTGCACCCTACCTTCTCACATGTAGGAGCACAATATGCTTTAATTATTATGCCTCGTGCATTTTAGTATGATTTGCTGTGTTACTAAATCTGATTTTTTCTTCTTCACAATTATTGGTGTTCGTTATAATTGCATTATTCTCTACTCCAGTATAAGCATGAGCAAGAAATCATTCTAAGCAAGACTTATTCAGTGTATCATATCATTGGGATGTTTATTCATTGCATGCATTTGCAATGATATTTTCCTGTGATATATGAATAGTTTGGACAGACATATTTCACATATAATTTGAAAATTTAAAAGCTTGTTTCTGGACGTAGTGTGAAGCAGAATTCTACCCTTCTGCAGCGACTTTGGTTGGGTCTTAATTAATTTTTTAAAGTGAATCTCAAAGTGTTTATAAAATAAGAAAAAGAGGAAAACACAGAAACAAATTCATTGACTAAACAAAACATATTGACCGTTATTTGCCTGCATCATTCCACAAGTGCTTGTGGCTTCACTCCTCCTTGATCAATACGCATGAATAATTTTCATGACTATTCATCGTGCTTATTGCCAACACTTGTGTACTAGTCATAATTGCTTATTTTCTGCCTTTTTTCAATAATGTTGCATTTAAGGAAAATATGCAATTTAGATTATTTTTCACTTAATTTTCATACCTTATTTAAAGTCTGATATTTCAGATGATACTTGTTGAATTTATTTGTTAAGTCTGCATTGTTTTCTTCTTCATTTTTGTGTTCATTTGACCATGGAAGATGAGCATTAAAACTCTATTCTTATTGTATTTTGGAGTCTTAGGGACCTTGTAATTTTGAAAATGTATTGTCATATTTCCTCTATGATACGAGGAAGCCATTTTAGTTACTGTTTCAACATTTAAATGTTAAATTTTCAATTTCTTCATCTTCCTTTGGTACACATTTATATGAACTACGTAAGCACAAACTAAATTTCTGCCATTTTTGGGTTTTAAAATGTATTGCTACCTATGATAAACTGTCTCCCAAGAATATTTTTATTTTATAATTACAACAGGCAGACAGAATAACCAACTTAAACATGATTTTTGCAGAATAGTGCTTTTCTGTGGTTTCTGAAATCAAATTATAGCCGTTTATAATTAGCAGTATTACAAAAAAGCAACATAAAGAAGCCTTGAGTATTTCCTTATACATCTTCAGCATTATCAATTACAGCTATTTAACAAGTCATTAATGAATGGGGGAATAATGGTGTGCTCAAGCCTTTCACCCCTTTGGCTGTGGCCAAACATCCAAACCATATAAAGTAATGGTTTCTCAGGTTGAAATGAGGCAGCTTTGATGTTCTGAAATTAATGCCATCCAATGTCCATTCTTTTGCAGGGCCTCTTGATAATGTAGGGATGTTAGCCTGAACATATGACATGAAATTCATGTGTTAAAAATGTGAAAATTTGAGATTCTTAATTTTTTACTCAAGACAGACTGAGATTTGACTTGTATAATGTGGGATAATTAATTTCCTTTGAGAAATGATGTACTTTCAGCTGCTTTCATTGTGAATAAATATGGCACGTGTTCATTCATAAATGCCAAAATCTTTTAGGTATCCTTTGTTAGTAATGAGTAAACTCTGCAAATGAAAGGAAATTGTATGTGCTGTAGTCAGCCAAAATTAGTATGGAAAGTTGTGGCTCTTCATTATATATTTTAATATAAATGTCTACTTTAGTAAGATGTAGAAGTATGTTAAAATATAAAATTATCTTGTTGAAATTTTTGTGATAAAGTACTTAAGTTGCAAGCAGTACTAAATGTAAATGTCAGTTGAAAAAGAGTACTGATTGACAAATAGTTCTATGTGCATAAGTATTATGCATATAGATTAACTATCTGAAATATACATTCCAAAATATACTCAGTCCTGAAGAGGACATGGACTTTATTATCTCTTTGTATGTGTATACGTGTGTCACCTGGTTATTGGAAGATAAAAATACTTTTCATATCAGTGTACAGTTGTCTTTTGACACTCAGTTTGAGTGATGGTAGTCATTAGATGGAATACATACTGTATCTGACTTGTATTGTTTACTACTGTTAAATGAATATTTGAAGAAGTGTAGAATTTTTTGCAGAGAAATTGATAAAATAATGTTTTCATAGGCTTTTTCAGTATCCATATGCCTTATCAAATTGGTTTTGTTGATTTTTATGTAGCATTGAGGGTAATAGTGCTCAGAAATGTACATAACTTTGATATATGTGTATATAAAGTTTGTTGGCTGAGAAAATGATTTCTTGCATATCTGTACGAGGGATGGGAACTTTGTTTTTATTGGGTTTTGACAATTGTTAATTCTGAATCTGTGTAGTTAACAGAAGTGTGTGTAGAAGTAAGTATGAGGCATTATGTACTGTGTGATTCTTAAATACTTGATCCAGTTTTGAATCCAATTATTCAATTTAAGCAGTAAAGTAAAAAAAAAAAAATATTTTATTTCTGTAGACTGTGCAGTTCAAAAAACATTTTGATATTCTGGTTGTGCTTCATTAAATACATATGATTCCATAACACAAATGTGTGGTACTTACTGATAGTGAGAAAATAAATTGTGCATAATGTGCATAAGTTAGCATTACACGTATTGTGGTCGTTTAACACAATTGTTGTGATTGTCAAAAGTATTTTCCAAGGTGACATTCTTGTTGCTCCTCTGAAGAATACAATAGTATGTATTACATCATTTTTCAAATTCAGATTTCTAATTTTGATTTGAATGAACAGTGAGAGATCGAAAAAGAAAAAAAGAAAAAAGAAAAAAAAGATAATCTATCAAATTTTACAATTTCCCCTCTTCTCAAAGGTATGATTTCAGGTTTATTGAATATTAATGTGATTATTATTGATTGTTCTTCCAGTAAAATTATGTCTATTTGCTGACAATATTTTTACATCTATCCAGTGTGATATTTTTGACTTATTGGTTGTATGCTGTCTGCTCTTTGTCTGTGGTGTATATTATTTGTGGCATAATTGGCATACTAGATGTTTAGCAGATGTATATGTTATCTCTGCATGTATGAGATGAATGTCAATGTAATGCGCAAAAGGGATGATAAAAGGATTGGATAAAATACATTAGCAACTGAGTGTGCAGTGTTACACCAATTCAACTGGTTCCTTTTTCATTTCAGTCATTGCATAAAATGCTTATTACCAGAATGAAATAAGCTTTTTGTTGCATAAGTTGCATTTGTACACTGATGTTCTAGGGAAGGTGTATTTGTTTTTATTATGGAAGCACTGTAATATTTACTTTTTGGAATAATAATTACAGATAAATGGTGTAAGTTCATAAAGTCCCTTAGAAACCAAAGATTGTTTTGAAGCCTGTCAGTCAATCTTGAAATATTGTGCTGCTGAAAGTTGCTAATATTTTTCTGTTCAAACTGCCCATTGAAATTAGAATTTGAATTTTAAAGGAAACATTTTTTGAAATTGTGTGGGAAAGTAGTCTCTTTATTATAAGTGCATTTTCTGAGGAGTACTACAGTTTCATAAAATTACAAGAGCGAAATTAATATTTACATCATGTAACTTAAAAAATATTGTAAATTATGTTTTGTTTATTCAAAGAAAAAATATTTATTACAAATTATTATTTATGCTAAATTTAACTTCTGCCCTATATTGCAGGTTTGGGGAAGATACATCTTTAATTTAATGTCATAATAAATAGTCTGATATCACTTCATGATCATGTGCAAAATTATTGTGCAAGTTTTGTTCATTAATTAATTTCTGTATTTTTTTAGTTAAATATTAATTGTGATATTTATGATAAGACCATGCCTTGATAGCAAAAGGGTATAAAGTGATTGTTTATGTATCTAGTGGCATTTTGAATACCTGTAATACTCTTCTGCAATCAAACTTGGCATTTTCTTTGTCAGTATAAAAGTAATTCCTTTCGGATTGGTGGAAATCTGTGATTTTCATCCCCTTATCTACATCAAATAAATCTTTAAAATTCAAGAGATAAAATGTGAGCAAATCTGTAGTTAGTCCTCTAATAGCAGTTTTAGAATTATTAGAACTGAGATTATTAATATTTTATTAACTGATCAGATCTGAATCTGATGTGAAGATTACATTCTTGCAATTGTCTGAAGCCTGTTGTTGAATCTATTGTTCTTGAGATGTGATTATAATTTCTCATGGGATTAAAAAATACTTATATTTTGCCTGTCAAATTTTGTTTATCAAATCACTTTTCATTGTCAGCCCCAGGAAAAGTCCGAAGACTCTCTAATGGAGGAAAGTAGGAGTTAAGAGCATTTAAAAAAAATAATAATAATAAAAAAATCTTATGTTTCAATACACTTTCTTTCATCTTTCTTGTGCAATTTGCATTGTGATCATTATACATCCCATTACCATTTTATTTGGTTTTCTTGACTGAATTTGGCTAACATTAAATAGCTTTCTCATTATTTGCTGCCATAGTGTTGGGTCAACACTTTCATCTTATCTGACTAACTGGTCTAATTTTATATCTGAGTGACAGACTACTGTTTACTGATGCTACACACAATGCAGATCTTTAAGCCATCTCCATCTCTTTAAAAAATTGAAATACTAAGCGATAGTTATTGTTTCTAACATAATAAAATGAATTTGTTTTCAAGACAAAACTTAGAAGCCAAATATTGAAGATTGGGCTAAAAAATGACTGCATGTTTATCCAAAACCTGGCTCTGACAATTAAGATTAAAAGTTAGCCTGGTTGTGATAATTCTGCTGGTGTAGTGGAGTTTTTCTTGTTGCGTTAGGGAGCTTCTTCACATCCACACGCTTATCCACATCTCAAATTATTTTTATGGATATGCTAATCTGGAAAACTAATTGCAAATATTAGGGTGTGCTGTGACTTATTTATCTCCATATGTTTCCAATTTCCTGCAAGTCCTAAAATTTCTTGTATGTTTTTTGCTTTTCTTTTGAACTCTCATTTTTCTCTTGTATATTATAGATATTTAGAACTGTCTTTTCTTATATAATCAAATCAGAAGCTCAAGAAATACAGTACTGTGGAAGCTTCCTTATTGGAAACTGACTTCGTCAGTATTATAACATGATCTACAATGCTCCCTCATTGTTAAAATGACCTGATTTCTCTCATCTTCTAATTTGCAATTCAGTTCCCATCACTGCCCAGTAAAATCCTAAAACATTCAATAATTCTCATTTCTACTTTTGTTTGATCTTTACTTGTTCCTCTACATTTGTGTTGTTTGAAGGAACAATTTGTGACATTTCTGTCACTGAAATCTTCTTTGTACCTTTGACAAGAATTTTTCAAGGTATTTTGTATTTCCAGTCTTTAAAGATTCTTAACTTTTTTTGACACAGGCTGAATGTGTGAATTTAATATGAAAATTATTTGAACACATTGAATGTAATTCTTCTGACTTTCTCTTTATTCAGAGAAGCTGTTTGATAGTTTCCACAAATGTTTTAGTTACTGAAAGGGAAGTTGTGACAATTGCTTTATTTTGAGAATTAATTTATATTAAATTATAGTGACTTGTGTTTATTTGTTGCGCAGTATACGTTTTGTCAATCCTGAAAATGTGGTATTATATTACAGTAGAAAGCTTTGAAAATATAACTAGAGGATACACTCTACTTTTATTTAGTTTTTTTATACATTGCAGTTCAGATTTTGGTTACTTTTCTGGGCATCCATGTGTGCTTTCTACAAGGTCTCCATAAGACACAACAAAGAATGTGTAGAGTCACAAAGTGTATTGTGTGTACATTTCAAACTTGCAACTCATTCAGTAATAATATAATAACTGACTTTGTTTCAGCATTGAGGCCAAACATATCATTTACAAGTACAAATTGTTTAAAAATAGCATAACTGGAGATAGCAATTTTCTCTCTTTCATTTTTATTTCATTTTAGAACGTAACTTTCAATTTTTATTTTGGAATAGATTTTCTGTTACAATCGTTGAAGTACTTTTTGTTCAGTGAATTCTTCAATAAAATATTCCTTGGAGTTTATTTCAAAATAACATTGTACAATAGCGGGTGATCTGGGCTGTCCGGGTGACGCCGCGTCGAAGGCTGAGTTGCCGACGTTTCCAGCCCTGAGGAAGACCACGACAGGATGGTCGAAACTTCGGCAACTCAGCCTTCGACGCGGCGTCACCCGGACAGCCCAGATCACCCACATGACTCTGGTCGCGGAAGCCTACGACTTCATTGTACAATAGCGTTCTAACATCTCACAAAAATCTTTATTTTTTAAAGTTTATATACTTGATGTCATTTGTGCGTCAGTTAATCTCTTTCACCATTTATACAAACTTGCATATTGGTATTGGTCTCTTCGGAATTGCTGTGTATTGTGTGTGTGTGTGTGTGTGGGGGGGGGATATTTGTTTAAATGTACACAATGTTAAGTGAGCATGAGCATGTATGGCAACAAATCTACCTCTTGCCTCTGTATCATGCAATTCCATTGATAAAGTATTAATTCCTTTGCTTCTCTAATGTTCTGTGCAATTTTGTAGACTTTGATTCTATGAAGTGCTGTGTGACATAACAATGGGTGTTATGTAAAAAAGAATAGTTGCTGGTATTTTTCTTCAGTAAACAGAAATAGATTAAAGGGATCATCACAGAGGTTTCTGCCCATGTGTAGATTTCTCATTCAAGCCTGTGCTTGTGTTTATGGACATGGGTTTATATCTTGCATATGTATCATATCATGTCATTTATTAGATACACAAACATGATGCAGAAATTGTATAGTTCCAAGAAGATATATTTGTGTTCTTATGTAATACGCGAACTTTTCTCTGTTGATGATACATATAGTAAAAAAAAAATTAGAAGTCAAGTGATAATGAGGAATCTTTATAGTGATTATGCTGTGGTGCTACAATTTGATTTGTATTTGGCCCATACATTAAATATTTTCATTAACATGGAGTGTGTTTTTCTTTTTTCCATTATTTTTAGTAATTTTAGTTTATTAGTTAATTTTTTTGAGATGTTAGTTGTACTAACCTTCTATGATTTTGTGTTGTGTTCTAAATTACTATCATTTTCAAAGATGGATTGTAAAAAGACATATTACTGTAATAATTACAATAATCGTGTTGGTATCATTATCCAGTACACTGAAATTCTTCACTTTTCTGCCTTCTGCAAGTTTAAGATAATGCTCTGTTATTTATTTTCTGTTCTTTTGTGAGCTCAAGACTACTAAAATTTCTTTTCTAGATTTTGTACTTTGCTGTTGAGCTCATATTTTGATGTGATTTTGTTGTAACACATGAATAATAATACTGCTTTTCTGATTTCACAACAGTGGTTTTAAAAACCTTCTTGAAAAGGACATTTAATTAACATTATTAGAATCTCAGCTTTTTATATTTTACTTATTTATCATCAAGAAGGGGTAAAAACTATGTGATGTATGGGAGGATGTGATAATGACCCATACACATTTTCTCGAGTTGCTGAATCTCCAACCTTTTCTTTTACTTCACAAACTTAAATTATGAGTAGAGATATCAATGAGCATAATTGGCAACATTTGAAAATGGGAAATAATCACTCCTGTATCATACAAGCTAATTGGTGTAATATAAAGAGGTGCAGATTTTATTTGAGAGTTCTGCGGATGAAATAATGGAACATCCTACACTTCCCATATGTAGTGAAAGCAGAGTTTAAGAAAACATGCACAGACAGTAAAGCTGCAGTTATTGTCCAGAAGCAAATGAAGGGACCATTTCAGCATTTGCTCAAAGTATCAAGGGAAACTGACTGAAAAATTTGATCGAGATAGGGATTATCTCTCTCAGAGCAGGTTCAAAGATGAAAGAGATAGGAATCAACTATCTGATTAGGTTTCGCTGTCCAAAGACAATTTATTAATATGTAATGTTTCTTGTTTTCAGTAATAATTTAAATAATGTGCCAAATATTTGCTAGGGACGAAAAATAATAGTTCTACATCATTAATTGGATTGTTGAATTAAAATATTGATACCTGACAATATCTCTATTTATTTATCAAAATAGTTCTACATCCTTTGGAAATGAAAAGTACTCGGCAAATATTGTAGTTTTGTTTTCTAAGTGACTTAATGTTTTCTTCACATCAGCTTGCAACTTATTTTAATATTAACATAACATGAACTCTCCAAATTTTTCCTGTGTGTTATTAATATAAATGTATAGTTTCTTCTTTGCCTGCAAATATTTTTTTCCATGAAATTCGATATCATTTGTAATTACATTTTGATATTTTCGAGACATTTGAGAATGAGTATGCTCATAAATATTGCTACTACCAAACTTGCTTACTAGTGTAAAATATGGACACAACTCCAAATGTTTTATAAGTAATTTATTTCATTTAAAATGAGGTTTGTTACATGAATTCTTAATAGAAATGAGTTTGATCAAAATATTTCTTCTGTATTTGTTACGAGTGAATCGAATTTCAGATTTAATTCATTTTGTTATTAGCAATTCATTGGAAAGTTTCAAAAGTGCTTTTTTAATATTAATCTTAAGTTGATAAATTTTCTAATTGTTAATAAGTATCTATTATACCATACATTTTAATGTATGTTTTAGCACTTGAATTGTGTACTAATTTAAAGAAAGTGTTCTGTGTCAGTGGGAAGTTACCTAATGGTTTAATGTTCTCGAAGTTGTCTAGGAACTCTTATTTGGTACAAATGTGTAGATGAAACATAGTGATCTAACTAATGTTTTGGAATTGCATTTTTCTTTCTTCTTCTTCTTCTTTAAATCTATGGTGAGATTATAGTTTATACAAAAATAAAATTCATTTTATTCCTTTGACTTTATCCCTGAAGTGTTTGTAAATATAGAAAGAGAGCATTTGTATTATGAGTACAAGGTGCTATTGTATGATTAGACTCAAACATATTACCAGTTTGTTCGCTGGTTTAAATATTTTAAAAATGTAGTAAAAAATGTAGTTTAATTTTAATTTTCAGGTAGTTTATTTTTTTACTTGTTGAAATCAAAGTTTATAAAGCTATTCTTTTTTACCAACGTTGCACCTATGTAAAGTTCTTATTTCATGCCAAACAGTTGTTACAAGTTGCAGCATTGTTCATATAAATGCACTGTTCATTCTTGATTCTTCTATGAATTCACTTTGGCATGTCATAAAATTATCTAATAGGAGAGTAATGCTGAGTTCATTTTGTTTTAAATTAGTAGTACTGTTTCTCACTATTATCAGTGTAAAATGATCAAATGTTGTAATGAGCTTTTTGCATGTTCCTACAAAATTGAAGCTAAATTGATATTAATTGATTGTGGATAAGAAATGCATTGTGTGTAGTAATTATTTTTCTTTTAATAGAAAGGTGATTGATACTTCTTTATTCAGAATATGTATTAATATTTAAATAAATTTTCTTTAAAATGTAAAACCTTTTCAAATGCCCTTGAAATGTTCAGATTTTACATTTCATTTATGACATCCCTCATTCATCTTCAAACATTTATAAATATTGAATTTAATTCTTTATACTGGCTTGTAGATAACTCATTTCAAAACTTCACTTACAAGTTTCTGAGTTCTAAACTCACTTTCCTTCTGTTTTGCTGACCTTTAATTTCTCTTAGTATAGTAGGTGTATGTCGATAATTGCATTTAAGTTCGTACACCTGTTTTCAGGGGCCTATGTACACGCACGTGTCGAGGAGTTTCCAGGCCTACCAGCACTTTCAGCTGTCAACCCGCACCTTCAATGGAGTGAAACAAAGCAATTGAAGACTTTGTGGGAAAGATTTCAAAGACCAGAGTCAAAAAATTGTTTTTTTGTCTGCTACTTGCAATTAGCAGATTGTTGTTAATGGCAAGTGTGCTTAACAGACTCTGATTCCCAGTATTATCAATAAACTTAAAAAGTTTAAATTGTAAATTGAAACAGTTGAGAGATCTGTTTATATGTATTATATAAAAGAATCTGTTGTGTCCCTTTTGGTGTAAGTATGGAGTTCACTCAATCTGCAATCTCATTATTTTGTATTAAGAGAATAAGTTAATCCTTACAAAGACATACCTTTCTTCGCTACTTGGACTTATAACTCGAACAACACAGAACTCCTGTGCTCAAATCTTAATTTGGGGAAAGTTTGTGGAAAACATCTTTATGTAAATCCTTAGGTTGACTGTAATTCTTACAAAATTTTAATTGTTAAAAGTACGTCATGCACCTAGTTGACAATTTTTTCTTTGTGAATGTATTCAATTTTGACAAATATTTTCCAGATTACCATTCTGATATATTGTTTTAATATACTTTTACATATTTATTGTTATTATTATTATTATTATTATTATTATGTTCATTACCATAAAGCACTCCTTGTGCTCTAAGATATTGGGAGCAATGAAGTAAAGAGGCTACACAGGGGAATTAATAATCTCTGCTGTCTTTAATTTTTGACCTTATTTATTAGTATGTATTTTTTAGTTTCCTGGGTACCGTAAAATGAAAGAAATATTTAATCTTAATTTGTTTTGCCTTTGGATAATTAAAAGACCTAAGAGCATGTACTTTTATCAAATTATTAACATTAATGAATCTGTAGGAACTTTGGTTTAATCAGTTATCTTTCCCACAAGTCACTCTAAGATGATTTCCCTGTCTATTCTCGTATGGTTTCAGATTTCTGTTCTTTTATTTGTATTTTTTGGTGCGTGGCTAGTGGGATATTTTTTTTTCTTCTGAACTTTATTACTTGTTTCCTTGGTCACATCTTGGACTCCTTGCAAGTCAGTTTTTTGTTGTTGTTGTTGTTGAATATTCTTCTCTACTTCTCTGGTTTTGTGTTTGAGTAACAGGTCCACGAGCACTATTGAATGCTGTGACATGCATACTGATATGTTGATAATTCATCTGAAAATATGGTGCTAGATATGGTACCTAGTCATCAATATATTATTTTAGCTATAATGAAAATTCAAGTAATTTCATTTAAACAAGTTCGTACATTTGTAGCAGTCTTACTATGAATTTATTTGTTAATTATGAGAGGTACTAATATACCTTCCTAATGTGTTAAAACTGTTCATTTTATTTGGCGTTGGGTGTGTTAACTCTGAAGAGTTCAGAAAAATGTGTATCTGAACAGTTGAATAAAAATGTTAAATGCATTTTTCGTAAATGTGCAGTACAGTAATATCTTGTTTTGTTCTTCTGTGCAGTTTTAAATGGTTATCACTAGGGGGCAGATTTTGATGACCTAAAACATCGTCAAAAATTATCAATAATATGCTCTTAAAATGTTTTTAAAATGCTCTAAAAGCAAAGAAAACCTTTTTAATGTTCAAAACCAGTTTGGATGAACAACTCTAGCTGTTGGATATGTTACTGATGTAATCAAGGCTTCTTCCTTTTGTTCAAGTGAACTCAGGTTGCAAACTTTTGGTTTGGACTGGTATTAACCACAAAATCTGTGTTGGTCAAAAGCTATCCCAAAATCAGCTGAACCAACAGTGGCACTGATAGGTGTCATAGATCACCTTAGATTACATACCCACATCGGCTGAGATTACAGTTTTAGAGGGAAGAAATTAAATACGGTACTGAGGAATTTTGGGGAAAACATTTGTTGTATCAAGTAAATATTATTTTGAGCAGATACCATTCAAATGGTATTAAAATTGATGAAATCAGTGAAAAATGCTTTAAAATTGATGTGAAAAGGTAAAAAATGATTTATTAGACGCAATTGATGAAAAATGCTGAACAGTGTCATATGAAAATGGGCCATTTCCTTTTGGAATACCATAAAATTAATGTTTACACTAAAAGGCATTGTTCTAAAGTGAAGGGAAAAAAATAATATTTAATTAAAATTCTCCCCTAGTTACCTTATTCAGAGAACATGTAACGATAAAGATGTATTTGGATATTGCACATATGAAGTTATTTAATTGTAGTGAGTGAAAAAAAATTATTTTGAACAAGATTTATACGAAAAAGATTATTTTGTTTGTTTGGTGTTTTTTAATTTTTTTATTATTACCTCCCTTTGCGAATCTCATATTAGCTTTGTAACCATGCCGATACATTATGCAAATATATTCACTCATTTTAATAAGAGCAATGTTAATATTATTTCTGCATTTTTGCCTTGTAGGTCAGTGTTCTCAATTATGATAAATTAATCAAATGCTACTTGGGATTATATTGAGTAAAAGCCGATGCTGAGAATGAAATTTAACTCTAATATATATGGTTTAAAAATAAAATAAAAGTTCCTTTATTGTGTTTATATTCTCTGTCTACTTTTTAAAGATTCAAGAAAATGCAAGGCAAAGAGCCTCTTTTAGTGCAAACTTAAGTTATGCAATACAATTGGTGTAGGATTGAAAAATGCTCTGTGTAGTTACTATGTGCTATTTTCCTGCTACTATAGTGAAAGTATATTCTTACTGTTTCACTGAAAATTCCTTATTCCCTCTGCCTCCCTCCAAGAAAAAGAAATATTTTGTCTAAATCATTCTCAACAAAAGGGTCCGGAATAACAGTTTTTGTTGGTTGGGTGAGTGGGTGTTTCTTTTTCCAAATGGTTCTGAGGAGCAAATATAGAATATGTGGAATATTAAATACTGATATAAAGTACATGTGTGAAAGTTACAAAGAGATTTAAATTTTAATATTGAGAGAGAATCTATTTCTGCCAAATGCAAACGGAACTTCCAACTATCCATTGTATTTAAAATTGCAGTAAAAATTATGTTATCTAGTTTTGCAAATAGGGTATGTAAATTATTTGTTCCTTTTTTACAATATCTTAAATTAAGTGTTTCTCAATTGCTACATTGAGTGCCTTCCTTCCTCATGAAAATTGTTTTTTTATGCAAGTGGTAAGAGTGTCGAAATGTTTTATGTCATTTTTAAATTGCTGAGTCCATTTCGAGAGTGTAAATGTCTATATTTTGAAATATTGCAGAGTAAAATTATCTTTAGAGCAATCAAACAATTGATAAATGTCTTCAAAACTAAGCCTGCATGTTATCAATGCAAAACAAATCATTTTACACAATTATTGTGAAATTTTATTGTAATGATCCAATTATATGTTATCTGATTGAATATTCCTTTTAATAGAACATTAATTCTAGCAAACCACTGGTTTAGAATCAAGTCTACTATCAATTTAACATGCAATCTCTATCGTTTAAAAAAAAAAAAAGAATATGAAAAAATTATCATTTAATGCAATATATAGTAATAAGAAATAATGATTTTTTTAATATTGAACTCAAACTTTTCTGCAGTTAAATGATACATATTGTGAATGTTATCTTTTGGGTTGCTAGGCGTGTTCTTTTGATAACCAGTTTTTAAAAGAATGTGCTTTGGATGAATAAGTAAATGCTATCAATATTTTGTAAGATTTTGTAAATCAGAAAAAAATTGTATTTCATGCTGCAATTACACAACAGTGACATGCGTTTCATTTTGTGTCATTAGTTCATTGAGTGACGTAAGTTAAATTAAGAATGTACCTAAAAAGAAATAAATTAAGTAATTTTAGTTCTTTTACTAAGCAGAAAGTCTACTAAGTCTTTACTAAGCAGTAAGATGTAAGCAGAAATTCTATGTTACCTAATGGAAAAAAAGAAGAAGAAAAAGTCGACGATTCTTTTTTGTTGCACATTTGTGTGTAAGGTAATTTAAAGTGGTGATTCTTAAAATTTCTTGGCATAAAAATTTAACTTGGTTACATAAAATTACATATTAATGAAAATAAGGATTTATGATTAACTTCTTAAATGAGTTTTTTGATTATGCCAAGTTAAAAGAAATTTTATCTTTGGAAAACTGGTATTGAATATGTTATGTTGAAGATATGTTGTTGTTGTTGGGTGTTTTTTTCTTCAGAATTCTGGAATGTAATTGTAATAATTGCAGAAATTCTAAAACTTGACCATTTGTTGTAGTTTAATTTTTTCATTATATTTTGAACAAAAAGTACAGCATAATTTTTGAAAGATTCTCAGAACTGATACAATCAATAGTAACATGAATTTGTAATAAAATTGTTTCCTCGAAAACTAAATTTTATATCCTTTGTACACAAACGTCATACTCGAGCTCACTGTACTGGAATGGTTTTCTCTGTGTACATTTATTTTCCCCAAGTCAGTGAATATTTATTTTATATTATAATTGTTTTAAAGTAATCTAGTTATAAATGTTAGTTCAAAATACTTTCTGCTCTAATATGATTGGATTGAATTCTGCTGATTTTCAAGGGCACTAATGAATACATATTAAATATTTTTGTTACTACAAGAATGACTGTGATGGGATGAAGAAAGAAATGAAAATTAAATAATGATAAAGAAAAAGTGGATCTTCAGGTTTTGAAAACAATTTTTTTCTTGCTTTTTCATTCATTCAACCTATTTGTTTACACAGTTGCTCATTTGTTCTGGATTGCACTCCATCGTTGTTGAGTGTATGCATTAGCACTTCCACTCATCCTTTCTCAACTTCTCTCTAATTTTACAGGATATATGTACATATTATTCTAAATTTTAGCTGCTTCCTCTGTGATTTTAGAGGCCATACTCATTTTGTACACTAACAAATAATCTTTACAACCCAAATGCGCTCGACATTTACATATGATCAGAGAAATTATTCTATTGATATATCATTATTTATTATTCTTTAAAATCCTTGTAAAAATGACAATTTGTACGTGAAGTAGGAGCACTGTTTGTTTTTCATGGCTGTAATAAAATAGAATGTTGTGTAACCGTGTATCACAAAATTTTTCAATTGAAATATTTTGGCTGATTCTGCACACATCTACAGAATATAAAATTGAATAAAGGATAAAAATAACTTCTGCAAAATATAATTGATTTGTTTGAGGTTTTTCCTAATACTCTTACAAGTGTACTTGTTATTTTGTGTGAAATGTTAAATTTTTTAATGATTTATGGATATTTTCTTTGTACTTTTTGTAAAGTAGGTTACTAGAATCATTCTCACTCAAACTTGATGATTTTGAGGACGATAGTGATAATCAATATCTTGTGTGTTTTCTTGTACTGTCTTATAAATGAATAATGTGCTTAACATGCTTGTTTTTGTGCAAACTGTCTGTGATTTTGACTGCATTTTTGTTACAATTAACCTAGTAACAAGCAGAGTATTTTCTTGTTAACCTGTACTGTGATAATTCACAATGTTTTAAAATATTTTATCATTTTCCCTTGGTGTGTATAAGCTTAGAAATCTGATGTAACATGAAAACATCAGGAACAGTGTAGAGAATGTACAATAATAAAATCAAGTTTAATTTAATAAATCATTATAACTTATAATGATATTTAATATGATATCTTGTGTACAAATACTTTGTTGAAGAACAAGTTTGTTGAATTGAAAATTGAATGCCTCTCAAGCCCTAAAAAAATTGACAATAACTCGTCTCTTGCAAAACAAATAGTTCCAGTATGTCAGTTCAATCTTAAAACTGCAAATGTGGTAAAGGTCATTGTCCTTGCCTGAATGCTCCTAGTTTATGTTGAAATTCAGATTAAGTCTTTGTATGCTCCCTGTGTTTGCTTGTAAAAGTATACACATACATATAATGGATGGTGTGAATATGATAATGATTATTATTACTATGATTCTAAATGGTGTCTGTAAAAAGTATGGGGTAAGATGAAACTGTCAAATAAACCACTATATGTGAACTACTGACATTACTTGATTGTTTAGTGACTTGCATGAAATCCCTCCTAAATTATATGTGTGAGTGAGTATATCTGACTGATTGAAAGAATGTATGAAAACTTCTTTGATGATTTGCTGGGATTATTTAACCTGGACTGAATGTGGTTTGTAATTCATATTGATCTTTCAAGTTGAAATGCCTGATTTTTCATTAGAATATGAAATTACTAAAAGAAGCATTTGAGAAAGACTATTCTATGATAAACATCATAGGAAAGAACACATTATTGATGAAAACTACGATGATTAGCTTTGTAGTTGGAGCATGCAGTTGATGACATGCTGTTAAAAGGATACCCAGAACAAAGAACATAAGCTGTGTCTTGTAGTCTTTTGTCCTAGGGAAAGATTAATTATTGAAAATCCTGATTTGTAAGAATTGATAATCATCCAATGGTATTGAAAATGAAAGCAGCTCATTACTTTATGGCTAAAGCTAGTGAAAATTAATAGTGTATGAATGCATTTTGTTAGATCTATGTACAATCAATAATAACTTTTCCAATGACTCGTTTTTAATTGCTACCAGACTTCCTTATCTATGATAGATAAGGAAGACAGTTGTATTGTTTCAAAACGACATAAAAATAGAACGTAATACATAGAAGTACTGTCTTTAATGTGATTAAACCGATCCAATTTCAAGATGGTAGAAAAGAAGCGTGTTAATATCTGCATTTAATTTATTGGTCTCTTTGTAGTAAGGCATGCAGCCCAACTGATATTGCAGTTTCATATTTATTTATTTATTTATTTCAAGTGATGGACACATGTCAATGTTACAAGATAGGTTTAGTAACAGATAAGTTATAACTTCTTAATTATGATAAGGGATTCAATGAAAAATACATTAAATGTAATGGAAAACTTATTTGCATGTGTTTGTTCCATTTTTTTATATATGTGCTTTTGTAATGCAGTATTTTTATACAACAACAAATTAAAGCAGCGATTTAGAACATGATAAGGTATGGTAAAATGTTCAGGAAGGTTCTTCAAGTAATGAAATACGTAATGACAGAGTGAGAGAAGACATAACAATCCAGAATAATAGGATGAACCACGATACCATCATCATTCTTGTACCTTTACAGTAGATTCTCAAACTACTTGAATCTATTGTAACCTTTTTTGACGGTTTAAGTGTCACCAGACAACAGTTTGAATTAAGTTTGAGAAAACATGTTTAATATGACAGAAAAAACATGTTGTGTTAACTCATTACATAATGAATTAATTGAAAGGTGTATTCTTCAACGAGCTCTTTATTTAATCACTAAGATGTTTGCGTACAGGATGGTTTCTAGTTTTAACTGATTTAAGTTTATTCTATGGTATTAATATATTCTTATAAGTAATAATGATTACAAAATTATATTGGAATATCATATTTTTTAAAAGCATTTAGTTATACTGTTTTTGAATAAAAAATGATTAAATTATATTCTTGGCATTGTTTCATTCTTGAAAATTTCTCAGTATGTCCAAAGTCACATTATCTCCAAAAAGGGAACTAAAATATAAGTTATTTTTTGTTTTCTTTTTCAGACACATCTATGAAACTATTCAGCCTTCTTTGAACAAGAAATACTGATAATCATTGGATTCATTGCGTTTTAGCAGTGATCATCAGTGTTAATGAGCTCATTATGGACACTGATTTTGTGTATATTTTTGTTTGGATATGCCAGATAAGTATTTATGAGAATATAGATTGATTCTAGTTCTAGTATTACACAAAAATTTCATAGTAAATTGTGTGTTCCACTTGATGTGGCTAATGAAACTAGTTAATTTCACTTGTGACAAAATATCACATGACTGTATCATCATAATGGACATGTAATCTCATGTGTTCCCAGTACAGTATCTAACCAAGTTTAATGATAAAAACCTTGTTCATTTGTATTGATGAAGTAAGGGCAAAATTCTGTTAACTTCAGGATTTAGCTGCCTTTTCTAGAGACAAATCTACACTTGAATACCTCAGAACTTTTTATATTGCATATTCCTAATATTTATTTTTCAAGATTATTGCTCATTTGAAATACTTCTGTCTTATTTGGTATATAAAGTGAATATCTTTCTACGCTTTTCAGAATCTGTTAATAAATATCAGACTTTTTGTTGACTTGTATTTCAAATACTTTTGAAGTTCTTAAAGATTTAGACTTTTGTTTTTGCTTTTCTTTCCTTTTTAAACCAGATATATATTTTCAATTCAAAAAAGTATAAAAAGAAGAAACAATTCAAATGAGAATAAGTTTGCCTGCAATTATTATAATTATTGTGGTATAAGTAGTTGAATATAAAGCTACTGTCACAAGTTGGGAAACCATAGGCCTATTCTGTAAAAAGTTCATAAATCATTCATGTTATTTTTTATTCGTTATTCATGATTTTGATTTGTCAGGTATGTGAGGATTATTATTGAAGCAGTTGTTAGATTTGTGTAGCTCAAGGGCCCACTGCTGTTGTTGTGGCCATGTGATTGATATACTTTACAAGAAATTACAACCTGTGTTTCTTCACCAAAAGTGTTGTCAGATACTTTTTTCATTTACCTTCATTTAATACATGTATTATGGAAAAAAAGTGTCTCTTTTCTAATCAACATTGTTTTGGTCATTTACTTAGTAAAAAAAAAAAGTTCAGGAGATTTTTAAGAAGATATGGATGTTGAGTTTCTGTAACTACAAATGAAATGAATATCCGTCATGATTTGTAGCAGCGTAATCCAAACAGCAAGTTTCACTAGTGTTTTCTCAAAGTGTTGTTGAAAAAACAAATGAGAGGCTGAAGTAATTTGTTTTTGCAGTAGATAATTGAATGTTCTTTAATTCTTTTGTAAATGCTAAATGCCAAGCTCATAAAAAATGTTACCATACAATTGAAATAAATTTGCCATAACATGTGAGATATAAATGTTCATAATTGTAGAGAAACAAGCTTAAATTTTATTTTCACTTTTTTTTTAAGTTCAGAATTGCAAGATCTGTTAGTATCATTTGATAATATTGAGCTAATATGTAAAGATTTTTCACATGTTTAAGTGTATGTCCAAAAATGAAACTTAATGTGTATTGAATTATGAAATCACTTTTCGTGTAGATACTGGGTTGCTACCAGTATGATGATTACCATGACTATTCCACTCATGAAATTAACATCAATAGCATTTAACTTTACATCAGGTATGCACCAATACGGGTGGTGTATCTTAAAAAATTATCGTTTTTTCTATCTCATTTTTCGTACCACTTCTTTCTACTGGCCAATCATAAGCTGTCACAGTAAGTGCTGTGCACCTAAAGTGATAGTTCCCTTAATATAATTAATATTTGGTGAATTCTGAAACTCTTCTAGAGATAATTTCATTTTTGGAGGTCTTATTAAATACCATGAGTGCATTGAAAATTTCGAATGCACTCCTAGTATTACATAAGATTAAAGCATAGGCTTCCACAGCCAGAGTCAATATCTACTTGGCTGTCTGGGAGATGCCATGTCTTGGGACAGCCAAATAGATATTATATAATATTAATTTAGCAGATTTTAAAATAAGTTTAATTCATAGAACTGATTTAACAGGGAAGTACTACTGAAAACCATGGATGCTTTTCTCTCAATTACATCATTATATTTGTAATATATTTATCATATTATAGTATAAATTAAATAATACAGAAAAGTACAATAATTTTACAAAGTCCAAAAAAATTTAATGATGTCCCAGAGAACTTCCAAAATTTCAGAACGTTAGGGCGAACTCTTAAAAAACTTGAGAATTTGCTAACAGTATGAGAGGGCACATATCAACTTCTAGGTGTGTGTTTTTTTTGTTGTTGTTGTTGTTGTTGGTGGTGGGTGTTTTTTCCTTTCTTTTTCTTCTTCTTCTTCTTCTTCTTCTTCTTCTGTGCGAGCTCAGAATTCAAAAAAACCTATCAGAATTCCTAAATTAAACTGTGGCAAAGCTCAGCCTCAAAACTATGTGGTTTGATTTAAAATGTATTAGTACTATTAAATAATGTGTAATACCATGAAAAATATCTTTGCAAATAATTTACCATTATTAAATCATAACATTTGTTTGGGAATATATGTTATAACATTTGTATGAGAGATATTGAATCATCAAATGTGAAGGTTGTTGGAAAAATTATTTATTCGATAAATTCAATATTAAGTACTACTTGAATATTCCCTTCAACTTGCACTTCGCTTCAAGAACTCCCTTCTCATAACAGTGCAACTTCATTTATCTGGTCTGCTAGTCTCACTACCCATAAGTTTTGAAGTTGAAAGCAAATGAAAAATTTCCCTCTCTCCCTCTCTTTAAGCAAAAGAACAGACAATTATAAGTTACTGCAGCCTTTTTCCAGTCTGAAATTTACAAAATAGAATACAAGTGGGGTTCCATTTCTAGAAGCATCTTTATTTTGAGAAGCCTTTATAAAGTTTCTTTGGCTAAACAACTTGGTCCTACAAGTTCATTTAAATTTCTCTGTAGATAATTTTTTAAGAGATCCACTTTTCAAAAGGTGGAGGATGTTAACATAGTGAACTATGAAAATAAGTTTTAAATGTTTTTTAAAGAGGGGAAATACGTTTATAAGGATTTCTGAGAGATGTTTAAAAGAAGCACAAGTTACTTTTACCGAAACATAACAAAGAAAGGGAAATCTTTTTTCCAAGAAATAATAAAATTTGTTGGTGTAATGTAGCCTGCTTACTTTAAAAAATGGCACATTCACTTGCTAAGAATATGGGAAAAGTGAAGTTCATAAATCACTAATCATATTTATGTTGCTGAAGACTTAACATGTTGAATATCTTCTTTAACCGAATTAATTGTATTATTGAAATTTGAGTGTGTCAGTCAAACCTCACAATTTGTTCTTTCCATGAAACTTTTCAAGAGGGGAAAAAATTAAAAAGGTAGGACTTCGAATAAAGATAACAAGCAAAGTAAGAATGGTTTGCTGATGGTAAAAGAATTGGGCAGAGCACATTTTGTTTACATTTTTATTACTATCTTTAATTAATATGTGCATTATACAAATTACTTAAATATTTTGTGCAGTCACATGCATAGGAGAACAGAAGGGATTTCTCTTTAACAACACTTAAAATACTCAGAAGTTCATCCAAATGAAAGGGCGATAAGCCAACTCACAAAGAATGAATTGCTGAATTATGCTTACTTGTGAAAGGGATGTGGAAACACCACTACTTGCAAATTGTGTGATCATGTAATATAGTAAAGAAACAGATGAGAATAGGAAAGTATTCATAAAAAATATTTTGGAGCATTTTCTTGTTTTTAAATGACTTGCTTCATTTCCTTTGCCTATTCTATTTCATTGTAAAATTTGCATCATTAGCCATCATAACACATCAGTTGCCACTAAAAGAAAAACTTAATTAGCCTTTCCACTCTCTACTTCTAAAAAGCCTTCCAGACCATTGTTATAGCATTAATGCATGTGGGAAATAAGTGAACTAAATTAGGAGATATGGTAATAGATTTGGTATGCTCCATCAAGTATTATTCTCTATTAGGTTTATTTGTTATAATCCATTTCAAAAACACAAAAAGTTAGTGCTTCAGAGGCCTGGGATTTATGTTTCAAATTCTTACATTCAATCGAATTTACAATATTAAAACCATCTAAATATGTTATTTATTATTTAATTGTAATTAATACTTCTATGGCAGGAGTGAATTCTATGTTCATTTTATTGCTGTGCCTTAATTTTTTCGTAAATGAAGAAATGTGTGGTATTGCTTGTGAGAGTGAGCCAAATTAATGTATGAGTGTTTTGCAGTAATACCCTGTTAATGGAAATAAAAATTTCATTGTGAGTTTTAATTTTTGTTATTTGGAAATGTTGCTTAGAAACATAGAGTAATACGCTTGTCGTAGTTTGTCGACACTTTAAGCATCTGTTGATTGTAGACACTCAACATTTTGCTTGAAGTACCAAAGGTGTTCGGGTTTTGTAAGTTACCAAGAAATCCTATTTTGTATATAAATGTAAAATAAAAAAAATTAAAGACCTTATTTTTGTAGATCAAATATTTGATAAGCTCTTCAGACAATGCATCCAGATTGCAGTTGGTAGTTCTCTATATCTCACCCACATTTTAAATTAAAATGTCAATAGGGGTGGAGATAAAGATAAAGAGTATTACTCTTGTGTATGCTAAATTGTAAACAATAACCATGTTGACAGTGTTTTTGATAAGCACTTATTCATTACTTTTTGTTATTATGTGAACAAAAAAATATAAATGTCAACTTCAACAGATAAATTTAGCAAATATTGGTTCCCTAGTCTTCTAACTTATACTCTTTACCTTAGTAAGTAGAAAAATAGTGGAAAGAATAATGATTTGTTTGTTTTCCAACATTATTGTGAATGTGTGAAATCTGGAAATGTCTGATAAGTGTTGGTGAAATCAATCTCTAGATCTCGTATAAGATTTGTTTGATAAAAGCTAAATAAATTATTGTCTTTTTTGGACTTGATGAAATAGTGTATCCTGAAACAGGCAAAACTGCTCATCTATTGGGTTGACACATTCAAAACACTAATAAAACAATTCTTTGCATTTTTCCTTACTGTGCTATAGCACAGTTCAGCCTTTGGCGAATATCCCCAAACACACAGTATTTCTAGAGTGTTTCTACTACAAGGGAGGGGGAGAATAGGAAACGGATTTGGAATGGACTTGTTGTACATGGTGTGTAGCTTATTGTTTAAACAAGGTACAGTGCCAGTAATTCAGTAACAACCTAGAATTGTGCTATTATTCCATTATTATATGGTAGAATTTGTATCACTGGTTGCAGAGATTAGCCAATTAGAAATTAATTGAATGAGACATTTCGCACTTGTGTATGTGCTTTAGTTCTCTTGTTTTATTCCATTACCAGAATTATTTATGTACATTATATCACTACCTCCCTC